CTGCTGCCACTGTTAACCGCGAGTTCGGAGAGCCGCGTCACTGCATGGATCTCCGCTCACCTGATGTTCACTGTTAACCGCGTGTCCGGAGAGGCGCGTCACTGCATCGATCTCCGCTCCCTGATGTTCACTGTTAGCCGCGTGTTCGGAGAGACGCGTCACTGCATCAATCTCCGCTCACCTGATGTTTACTGTTAGCCGCGTGTTCGGAGAGGCGCGTCATTGCATCGATCTCCGCTCACCTGATGTTTACTGTTAGCCGCGTGTTCGGAGAGACGCGTCACTGCATCGATCTCCGCTCACCTGATGTTCACTGTTAGCCGCGTGTTCGGAGAGACGCGTCACTGCATCGATCTCCGCTTACCTGATGTTCACTATTAACCGCGTGTTCGGAGAGACGCATCACTGCATCGTCTCCGCTGACCATGCTGGGCCCGCTGCCGTCCGCAGCAGGCACGGAGTTCTGGGTCATATGTCTGAGAGCGCCGGGTCGGCGGCGGTGGCGCAGCCGTCACTCCCTGACCCCCTCATGCAGTACTCTACACGGGGGGGGGGGGGGGGGGGCGGCAGGGGGTGACGCGCACGCCGTGCACTGGCCAATCCCGTCTCGCTCGCGCAGTGCTCTGTCTTTGTGCGCTGCCCTCTCCTACCTCCCTAGCGCAGTGCTCTGTCTCTGTGCACTGCCCTCTCCTACCTCCCTGGCGCAGTGCTCTGTCGTAGCGCGCTGCCCTCTCCCGCCTCCCTCGTGCATGCTTGAGACGGGGGGCTCATCCTGTGGCGGAGACCGAGCCGCGTTCCCGCCCTGGCACAGCCCGGGCTGGCAGCGCGTCTCACTGTGGGTATATTGCGGTTGGAGCGAGAAGCCAGAACAGTTTTGCTTTTGCGTGATATTCAATCGTAAGTTTTTCCATTTTACAACCCAGCAACATCTTGATTGTTTCATAGAAATGAACCCCATTTTGAAACTTCTCTCGGTCGATAGCAAATGAGCCGGATTTAGAAATGCAGAACTATTTCTTGCGACCATAAATGCTGCCCAAAACAAACTGCTCCAATTTCACAGCACAATTAGCATCTTTATTACCACTGCATGAAAAAGAAAGTGGCCGGAACTATCCAGTCCAGATAACCCTGTTTGAGCCACCGATGTCATTACTACTCGCACAGATCAATCATAAGCATTCGAAATTGGCATTGCGGATAACCCCACACATGCCGCCGGCTCTTGTTTTGTGGCTGCGCGCCGCTTTTCCCTGCAAAGCCATGTCGTGCGCTCTTCTCCACGATCGGTTTACAAAGCGGTGGCGGAGCTCTTTGGCATCATTACGAGTTCTGGTGAAGTTGTAAGCCAGCTTAACTTTGCGTGACAGGCGGCCCTTCCCTTCCCGCTCCAGATATTCCGACTTCATGATTCAATGGCCGGCAGCACCTGCCAGGCGTGCGCTCTTGCCGGGCGCAGCGCAGCCGTTTTTCCGGATGCCTTCGCGGAGGGAGTGAGAAACCGTTGCAAAATGGACGTGCGGGGCGAGGCTCTGCAGCGCGGGCTGCGGGATGGGGTCGCGGAGGCACCCCCGTCCGCGAGCGGTGTCAGCCGCCTGGTGAAACTTGGCGGCAGGCGAAAGGCGTCGATGACGGCGCCTCGCCATGGACGCCGCCGCACGGCGAAAGTGGCGCTGAGTCTCCCCGGTCCGTCCTGCGCGAGACCGGAGGAGCGATAGTCCCTGTGGTCGAGATACATGGGACTTCCACATTACCTCAGTCAATCTAGTTGCGCCATCGTTGCTTTGCATGTTTTTGTTTGACTGCATTCTTGCGACCAGCGTTAAAGGGCGAGCCTACAGGCATACATACCAGCGACAAGACGATGCCAGGAATAGTGACCCGGCCTGCCCGTTTCTGCACGCATTTCATAAGAGCACCCGGCCCCATGAGAACCATGGTGGAGTCGATCCCGGGCCAATTCCCGTGTAATAGTGGCGGATGTGGCCGGCATCGCGTGCTTTCGAGCCCTCACCGCGTACGACGAGGCCCACGCGCTCGAGAGCCG